TCAGTCATAAGTAATCTAGGACTTGGGATATATGTGCATCGATTCAATATGTCACACCAAATTATTCAGATAAATGTCAGACCAGTGGAAATAGTAACATTATCAGTAAAAAAAATGGGTACAGGAAATATAAGAATAAATTAGTTTCTGGAGTAAAACGAGAGTAAAAAATGATTTAAAAACTCAGGATCTAAGAAAAGACAAAGGATGAATGCATCTGAGCCATTACGACTGATTCTGAACCATATGCTATAACGCCTCCAACCATCATTTGAGATAATCACGAAGAGATCCGATCAAGTAGTTTGTATTTACCAACATAGCTCAGTTCAATAGTCAACGACTTTACGGATTGATGTCTAGCTTTAGTTGTGATGAGTCTAACTTTCTTCTGACCTATTATTGCACTAGGAAAAATGACAAGTCAATGTAGATGGTGATTGAACATACATGAAATAGATATTCCAACCATTCAAGTCGATGAAGATTCACTATTTTGCCAATTAACTTTCTATCTTTAACTAGAGTACCCTGTGCCCAACCTCAGTAATACTCACTCGATAGTCCCTGTATACACTAGTAACATTTGTGAAGCATCTATGGTCGACTATTGAACGTTTAGCAACAAAAAAACTTTGACAATTGTTACTTCACTCAGTAATTGACGAAATAGAAACTTACTATTATACTGAATATATTATGGGGTGACTTTTTTTTCGACATTAGTCGGTCATAATCAATGAAGGAGCTGGTAAAAATATGTATCGTATTATTTCTTGGAATGTTTTCGCTTCACTAAGTGAAGTGGGGTAACCAATATTAATTATCTCAGTCAGCTAATAAATAAGTATTCGTTTCTTCTTTAAAACTCCATTATAATTATTTTATTGTAAAATTCTTGAAGTATGATCGAAGGGGTTTCGAACGACTTTAACAAAATGTCTGTTTTATCACTTAAAGCGTGATTACATTATAGTTGCAAGTTCATGAACTTATCTCAGAATAGATGAAATCGTGAAAGCAGATTAAATTTAGAAGTTTGATTTTATTTGTTTAGTCTTTAGTATTGACCGAGTTTATAATAGTATTCATTCATCGAATTACTTTTCGCGTGTTCTAGCCATACCTATGAACGTTTGGTATTGGTACCCGATAAAAATCTCTGAAATTAAGCCATTTGTCTGCTACAAGTTGCGAATAGGGAATGCCCGAAATCCAGAAGCTACCGATGGCGTATCACAGAATAATTAAGGAAACTCATTTAGTGAGTATATGTACATATGGGCGGTAATGACACTGCCATTCAACTGACCAAGAATAACTACTACCATTGAAGTAAGTGCTTCTATCCATTTGTACTGATGCATATATATGCCTGATCCTACGTTGTAGACGGCTGAGTGACTGGTGGAGAGTGGTTTTAATCCTGGACCTATTGACTGAAGGCTGAATGGTTTAAAATCTAGGTCTCCGCTTGCTGAATTTGGGATTTATTTATTTATTATTATTTATTTTAACACATATTGGTACAAGGAGGCAGCAAATACATATGCGCTACACAAATTTCATTTGATGTGTGAGGGCTGTGATACTGCCCGGGTGCCCAAACCGAAGCAGGTTGAATTTGGGATGTCATTAACAGACTAAGTAAGTAGATTTCACAGCGTACGTTTCTGGGTTTACTCTATAGGAATTTATAGACTTATATTATCACATAAAGTTAGTACAATCATATGGTCAAATAACTTAGTGCCTGGTTGAGATTTCTAAGGTAGTAAAAGTTTCCCAATGGTTACTTAGTGTTAGCACACATATGAGATATCAATTCAGAGTCTCTCATAAATCTACACTTCCAAGGATAATTTAATGTATATTGTCATGGTTCACGAGGAATCAAAGACATCAAAATAAAAAGAAAGTTTTAGAACTGAAAACTGGATCACATTTCGTAATATTACACAATCGAATATCTAAAATTATTTATTTATTTAACACATAAACATTAGTACAAGGAGGCATGAAATAAATATGCGCCATATAAATCATTCGATTTGTGTGAGGGCTGTGGTACTTCAAGGATGCCCAAAACAAAGTAGGTGGTTTTCTTAGGATGCCACACCCCGAGAAAATGGAGCAACTTCAGGAGATGCAGTCCCATGGTAACCGGTGACCAACAATAGGTACATACGCCGCTTGTTTGTTTAGGATCACTGAACCCATGTGCACCACTGGTTTGGAATCAGGGCTTTCCAACTCCCCTAGGTGGATCCTCCATATGCACCAACCCGGTTAAAGCGTCGGACATTCGATTTTCGTTCTCTCAATTCCGTAACCAACACCCCGTCACGAGAGGGCAGTGAGTACGACTTTCCTGGGAGTGGCTGTATACACGTGGCCCTTTGGAAGCATTCCGAGGGGGAGAGCAGGCTCCACCCACGGCCGTACCATGGTATGTGGGGCAATATCTAAAATGGTATCTAGTTTACTGGTCACGAAAACTGAAGAATCTTCAAAATGAAAATTATTGTAAAATAAAGTATCCTGTAAAATCACCGAAAACTTGCTTTGTTTTTAAAGCCGAATTTTCGATGATAAAACATGAGAATTCCAGGTCTTCATGGGAGGATGCTAATTTTAATATTGTCGGTTAGGATTCTTAAAATAAAATTTTACACGAGTTCAGTCGATTATTAATGCTCACAAGAGTAGATTTGTATTAATAACGGCATCATTAACGTGAAAAAGACAGCTCTTTGATGTTTCTTAGATCAGTATTTGATGATAAAAACCATTTGTACTCTGTCAGTTGTTATCGAAATAGTTAAAAATGGAATTAAATTAACAATTATTTAGGCATGAACAACATGAGGGCTGATGATACTATCCGATTACCTAGACTAAATTATGTGGAGTGGGGTTCAAATTTGAGACTTGAAGTCAAACAACTTAACCACTAAGTTACCGCACCATAGAAGTAAAGTCAGTACTTGATTTGTTTTTACCTCATCATCAAATAGTAAACTACACATGTATCAAATTCACTGAAAATATAACACACTAAATATCTTTTGAAAATAACACACCACAATGACGATAACACACATGAAAGTGATTAAACTGAGGTTCTTGGTAAAAAAGAAAACCTGATGGCGAGATGTCTAATTAGTTTCATTTCGTATTTCTATCAATATCACTTAGCCTAATGAAAAACGGAAAACTGTCAGGATAGTGAAACTATGACATGATACCGACCTAACTGATTCAAGTTGTTTTTGAAGCATGGAATCTATCATCTGACATTTAAACTATGATTTTAGTTATAAGTATATTCTCTGAATTCATTTTAATGTCACTTTTATTTAGTCTTATTTATTGGATAACTTTATATTATGAGAGAGCATTAGATTTACGCACAATATTGCGGCATTCCACACTTTAAGACAGTTTTACAAATACAAATCTGGGCCAACCAGACATACATGCCACACAGTATCACAAGACTATATGTATGCATATACATATAATTAGTATATACATTTTAATTTATTAAAACTGTCATGGAATAAATGATTGTGTTGAATTTCAGTTGTACTAGACTACCATCATGAAATACGAGGATGTATATATTCTATTTGAAAAACTAACAAAGTAAGAAATTAACGTCAACTACATTGGCTACTACTACAGTCGTAATGACCTAACGATACAAACGGAACAGAAAACAATGAAACAACCACTTTGGAAACGTACACTTAACAGAAATTGAAAATTTTTTTATTCAAAAGAGAACAAAACAATATATTAATGAGTCAGTGTACAATTTGATATTACACTTTTTATAATCTGCCCTTTCTTCCAATTTAAACATATTCGTTAACATCTTAAATCATCATCAATGTTACAAATGAGATAAACAAACAATTAAAGCTAACTGGGCAAACATTTTAACGTATTCACTTACGTTGACGAATCAAAAAGATATTGTAGACGTAGAAGATAAAACTGGACAGACGCGGACGAATAGTGAGTAAAAATCACGCATATATATATTACAAACATGGGAATTAGTGTTAGAAACTACTCAGTAATAATAATAATAATAATAATAATAATAATAATAAATAGATTAAACAGTCTGTGTATTTCCGAAAAAAGAAAGAGGTAGTAGAGGACCGAGACAAGGAATATTGTTGAATTTTTACTATTAGAAATGTAGAAAATACAAAACAAACAAAAAGCAGAGGAATAAACAAAATGAACACAACATTATTAATGAATCCTAGTAACAACTGGGTATTTTATGTGAGTGTAATATAGTAAAAATTAATCTGAATAAGAATAGTTGATAATTTATAGTCACCTATATTAATAAATGATAGCATATTACATACAGTATACAAACGTTTTCATTTCAATAGATAACCGATAATGCAAAAATAATTGTGCTTTTTATTAAAGTTTCCCTTTGTTTTCAGCTGTACATTAATTGCGATCAATAGTGATAATAGTAGTAGCCCTAATCGTAGGATGAACGAATACAATTGAATAATTTAGTTAAGTCAAAAGTGAGTGGTATAATCATGTTGAGTATGTATGTATGCATTTATGCGTAGACAAAGAGAAAGCAAGAGATAAATTAGTTTTATGGTCACAGCCAATTACGATAAATAATTCGTATTGCCTATTTGCTCATTTGTGTAAGTAGTATACATATATGTATATAATGCATGTGCATATCTGTGTACTGTAAGAGTTTACTGATGAATAATTGCTTGTAAGTTGAGGAACAGTGAGAGGATACATTGAATTATTATCCCTGATAATAACATCAGTTATTCCCCTTTCCTATAGTTATAAAGCATTGATTGTATGTGTTCTATTTTTACAAAGAAAACAAACAAGACAGCACCATAAATAAATAATTAGTAAATAATATTTGTTAGAGCAGTGTTGTTTGAAGTGAAATATAACATTAGAGTGATAGATTATAACACTGGGCGTTAAGATGAAGAAGAAGTAGGAGAGACAGGATCATATTGTGATTCAGAGGCATTGTATAATGGAGTAGCAGAATCTGGTTCATCTGAATTTGATCCTAATTCTGAAGTTAAAACAGAGAGATTAGACAGTCGTGATATACGATTCAGGTAGATTGTACTTCCATTATTATTATTATTAATCGTAGCACATGTATTTGCTGGAGTATCACTGGTACATTCGGTAAGTTCGTTTGAAGTCACAGGATTTACACTATGGTTTAGTGTACTAGTATTAGTAATAGTAGTACTAACAATACTACTAGTTTGAGTTTCGAAATTAGAAGATACAACAGTAACTACAGAGTCTGGCGCTGATGTTCTTAACTGATTGTTTAAATTTGCATGAACTAAGTGTGGAGGAAGTGGGTCGATGACAGCTTGTTCTAAGCCTGTTGTTAAATCACTAACTGATTTACTCTTTACACATTGAAAATCTACATGGCGTGATTTATTCTCTTCTTCTTCCCAAGACATACGAATAAATGGACATTGAACATAGTTGTAAATTGCTTCCGGTCGAGCACCTGGACGAAATTTTACCCGATCTTTACAAGTTGGATAACCTTCTATGCCAATACGTATTTTTTAAGGCTACGTTCAAGTAACACTTGTTTGGCTACTTCACGATTTTCAATATATTTTAAAAATCGAAACATTTGTGTACTGTAAATTATATGTGAATTTAATTCATTATCTGGCATTTGTGGAGGATAGTCTGGATCCCAATCAATAGTTTCATCATCTGTTACAATGACAATATGACACTCACGTTCACCTAATTGAGTACACTTGACAAGTAATGAGAGAATATGTGTTTCAAGAAATTGTCCAAATATACCATGTGCACCATCATTTGATAATTCATGTAAAAATGCTCGTAAATTTTCACATCTTACAGTTTGTTGATTGAATGGAATAAGAAAGTAATCACATGCTTCTTTAAGTTCTTGTACTGAAACACCGGGTGGACAAGACATACAGCCAATAAGATAATAATCAAGAATTGTACGAAATACCTGAGCTGAGATAGTTGAATCTTGAGCAATTGAGATATCTGGTGGATGTGTTTGAAAACTATGGTGGATTGTCGTTGTTGATGATGATGATGAATGTGTGGTAGTTTGTGATTTACTATCACTTGGTGAACTGCTTTCCATTGACGTAGACTGAGGATAATTAGTATTGTTAAGATTATCATACAAATATTTAGTCTCTAGAAATTGTGAACTAAACATTCGTCCAAGCATTGTATTAGGATGAGCTTGAAGAAGTTCAGCATCAATGAGGAATCGAACACCATCGACTAATAGACTAACACGCCGACGTCTACTATTAGATGACTGTCTTGAGGTGCTGACATTACGGGAAAAAAATACATAAATAATTAAGAGAATACGGTAGAAACAAAGGTGAATCATACATTAACACATTCGATTCTGGATGGTTTTTTTAATTTGCTTGGATGTAAAGGTCTTTGAACAATCTTTGAGCAGTCCAATTCTATACTGTACAATAATTTGAAAGTATTTATGTACTGGTTAGGTGATAAGTACTAATTAGTAGTACGTTAGAAAATCAGAAGTGGATAAAATATATTTTATAGCTGAAACTTTACGATTACGTAGCATGGAAAAGTTTAACCTATCCTCCTTGAGTACTAGTACTTTTTAACAGATTTAATATACTTATTTGCTTTAAGTAACAGCTAGTTTCTTATAGAGCTGGGTAATATTTTAATACTTAAGTAATCCCATATTGAAAATTAATCAAGTTGTGACTGCTTTTGTGTGAATAAGGATCTTATGAGAGGTGTTTAGAAGACTGGGTGTTTTCAGCAGGCAAGACTGCATCATACGCGTACTCAAGATTACTGAGTGGTTTTCTAGGCGGAAATTTGAAAAATAACGGGGTGGGGTGCACACATATGCCATACAATCCTTTTTGGGTGTAGCATAAAACAATAGTTGTTACAACGGGACGAATATTGTAGAAGTTGGAACTGGTTCATCGAATTATTCTTAATTATAATTTTATTGTACAATTACTAAGTAACTAGATTACTATATATATATATATATATATATATATATATATATCATTTATCGTAAGCTTTCAGTTAACCCATCAACTACAGTTATACGATTTGCCAGTCATACTTTATCGTCAGTCTATTACTTACAGTCTTATCTAATCACAATCACTTTCTGACTTAATCATGCATAAATGTTATTTTACATTATATGGTGCGATGCGGTCTAGTATGTTTGTTTATAAACAACGTCTGTTTGAAAATATTAATAGAGGCAGGTTACTACTTTGCACTCGGGACAAGATAAAGAGTAAAGTCAGCTAGTAAATTAATAGGAATCTAGCTGCTGGTTCAAGGTCAATAGTACTGGTAGGGCGTCTACTAGGCCGTCAGATAGATAAATTAAATGACAGATAAAATTAGGATTCTGATCGGTGACTTGGGGAGTGACTTTATTCATTGGTCACAAGACAATAAGTGCCATGCACTCATTGTCCTTGAGAGGTCAGGCAACCCAAAATTAGGTTTAATGTCTTTTTAAAATCCTCTTATGGGTATTTCTACTGACAAATCACTATAGCAACAAATTTAAATAATAAAACTAAGTATAGACTATAACCTAGTGTTTCAGATTTACTCTAGTTAGTATTTATTTAGGGGATTTTGTGCTTTTTAGAGCGGGTTTTATGTAGGTGATTAGCTATAGTTAGATCTTACCCATGGAAATTTATTTATTTATTTAACACATAAACATTAGTACAAGGAGGCATGAAATAGATATGCGCCATATAAATCATTCGATTTGTGTGAGGGCTGTGGTACTTCAAGGATGCCCAAAACAAAGTAGGTGGTTTTCTTAGGATGCCACACCCCGAGAAAATGGAGCAACTTCAGGAGATGCAGTCCCATGGTAACCGGTGACCAACAATAGGTACATACGCCGCTTGTTTGTTTAGGATCACTGAACCCATGTGCACCACTGGTTTGGAATCAAGGCTTTCCAACTTCCCTAGGTGGATACTCCGTATGCACCAACCCGGTTAAAGCGTCAAACATTCGTTTCTCGTCCTCAAAATTTCGTAAATAACGCCCATGGAAAGTAGCATGTATAATAAAGTTTCACACTGTTTAAAAAGTGTTTTGTCACTAAATTTTACGTTTTATACTTCCATTCATATCTAAATTAAATAATTCTTAATGTGTTGTTGGTGTTTTAGAAAGTTGGTTTGTTGTTCTATTTCCAAGGATATTTTAGATAGAACTAACTCAATAACTTTAAACTTAATCTAAAATCTTCTAAAAACTGCTAAAGATAAACCATCTATTAATGGGTAACCTGGAGATCAGGGTGCAGCGATGTCCGCATTCATTGTTTATGTTAATAAATACTAGGAGTATTCACTCTTTTTATGTGAGTTCAAGATGAGGTCAGCATGTCCACCAATAAAAGTTTTGCGTAAAGAGTACGATTGCTACATATTTACAACCCAAAACGTGAATTTCCGCCACTCAATTAATTTATATTATTGTTTAGCAACAGTATTCAACGAAACCGATTAAATTATATTTAGAGATATTTACTGTCATAACAAGTATACGTGACACGATTAAGTCAAAGCGAAATCTCTAAACATGGACAACAACTAATTAGTTGGAAGCTGGGTCCAATACATAAGTTGATGGTGACCGTTCGAACTAAATATTGAAGTTGAAATAGATACTTGACGAAAACCACCTTCAAGTTGAATAAATCTCCAGAAACAAATAAACAAAAAGGCAGAGTACTTACTTAACTGGAGATGCTAAATTCACTTCACAAAATGGTAGTGCTGATAGGGAATAGCGTCTCTGTTCTATGTTTGTAGATTGAAATTGTGTTTGGTTTATGCAACTATTAAGTGTATGGCGACCATCACTACCATTGCGAGGACAAAATAATTTAGTATGTGGTGATGATAACGTGAAATCTAGACCAGAATCGTCGTAAAATTCCCTACTAACACTTGCAGGATTCATAACACCATTATGTCCATGAAATGACCCATAATCTGAATGATAATTTACTTTAGCAGAACTAGAACAAGACTCAGGTGGAGAATCACAATTAACTAGTGAAGTTATTTTATTTGGATGATGCTGATGCTGGTAGCTATGTTTATGAAGTAAGGGATAATTTGTTATATGGTGATTATTATAATTGTTGTTTGGACAAAAATAGTAGTTTCCACTGCTGCCACCAATAGCATGACTACATAAGTGACCTGATAGTGAAGAACATTTATGGTGACATATATTATTTGCTGTTGTTGTTATTGTCGATGCTAGCGGCTGAGACGTACAAATAGTCGATGATCGTCTACTTAAGTGTATTCGTTCTAATTGTGACGGTAGATATGTTGTAGCCCAGTTATGATTATTATTATTATGACTATTATGATCATGATTACGATATGTGAATGTACACGGAATGTTAGATGTAGTAGGGATGAATGAGTTCGATCGAGTACATGATATATTTGTTAAAGAGTTATTTACTAAACACATTGTATGTCTCATTGAATTCGTTGCTGTCACAGTAGTGATAGGATTATCTGAAACAACAGACTGTATATTTTGATCACTTATAAAACTATTATTATTGTTATTATTTTCATCATCATCATTATTCATGATATCAATTGGAGTTGTTTCTGCAATTTCAATGCTTGGATAATCCTTAACAGATGATTGATAATTTGTAGACTGTATATTAACTGGCATAGTCAATGGTACCGTTTCTGATGAAGATAATGATGGTAATGGTGATCCAATTGTTGTTAAATTACAATTTACTGAGTAGTTTGTTTGACCTGTATTGGGCAAACCAATTTGTTCATTTATTTCTTTTACACTAGGATCAAATGAAATCCAATTTACACCAATTAAATCATTAGGGATATCCATTAGTGAATACATACATTTAAAATCAGTACCAGCATGAGTAGTATGTTGTGTACAATAATAATAACGATTATCATTACTATTACTACAGAACGAGCTTCGGTTACTATGTGATTGTGATAAATCCAAAGGAATTGGACTAAATGAATGACTTAATATCTCATAATCATTCATATTATAATGCGATAAAACAGATGTGAATGGACGATTAACGGCAACTTGTCTCTGTAAGTTTTGCGTTGTTGTTGTTGAAACAGCAATAGAATTGTCTAGAATTCGGACACGATTTCGTTTATGACGTGTACTATCATTTCGAATATCTGATTTAGGTTTAGTCCAATCTGAAATAACTCCAGAAGGATGTGGTGATACATTCATTGAATTTTTTACTTCACATAATTTATCATTTGTTTGATTACTAATTGACAAATGATCTGTTGTATCAGTTTCAATACTAGTTGTTCTATATTGAAATTGATTACGTCGACGTTTTTTATCACGTTTA